AGTTCCTATGGGTCCCCCCCCGCATAGCGAAGAATCCAGATAGCAACGTGAATCCTGGAACGGATTCACGTCGCTATGCGGGGCACCACTGTATATATTTGGCATAACACCGTTCAGAACAATGACATAGAAGCAAAATGACCACCAGACTTATTGCTGAGTGGCAAAGATCTATTCTGTCTCTGTTAACATTTATACCCAGAACAACCAATCACATTTCACCATTTACAGCTGGTCTTGCTTAACAATCAAGCATTACATCACATTGTTTTACCTATATGCTGTTAGCCATTACATTGGCTTTTACTCTACATTCGTGACTCTGCACTTCCATTACAATATTAAAAATATAACTCCCTGTTCACCAAAAGAACAAAAATCCTGACAATATTCCCGTTGCTGCTTTAGGGAAGTGGGAAGATCTGAGGCCTGGGAGATAATATAGAGCTACAGATTTTGAGTGAGATTCCTTCTGAATTCAGCAGCCAGTCCTTTTTGGAGAGCTGAATGATGGGGGAATCTACCTCTGATCCTGAATGACCAGGCAGTATAACAATTTGGAAGCCATTCTTGATAGGAGGGGAACAAGAACTGGTTCCTACATTGGGCTTGCCCTGTGCCACGTTTGGGGTCATTTGGAAATTTAAATTATTTAAAGGAGCCTCATGGCACAATGATTAAAACTGCAGTCACAATTTTCAGTGGATTCAGGTAGCCAGCTCAAGGTTGACTCAGCCTTCTATCAGCTCTTAGGGGTGGGGGCCAACGTGCAACCTGCATAATTAAAATATAAAACTCCAGAGAGGGTTTTAGGTGCTATCAGCAGCACACTTTGCTTTTTTGTTTTTACCTTTACAGTTCTGATTTCTGTCTTAAAAAATGGCTCCAAACCTCACAAAAATGTTTTTTATATAATCTTCTGCAACCTATAGTCAATTCTGTGATTATTTTTCAAATGCCTCTTACTGTTTCCTGAAAGGAAAATGCTTTCCCAAATGTCTTGTAATTCCGAAAACGAATGATTCTCACTGGTGGATGGGGCTTCCTTCTGGACAAAGGAAGAGATGAGGAGTGCAGTGGAAGAGAGGAAGGCAAATCCACAAATTTTGAAAGGAAAATTAAACATTATTTCATTTCCTGTTGACATAAAAATTTTCTGATACTCATTTACAAAACATACAGTACTAGGAAGTTAAAAAGGTAAAGGTAAAGGTTCCCCTTGACAATTTTTGTCCAGTCGTGTCCGACCCTAGGGGGCGGCGCTCATCCTGCTCTTCAAGCCATAGAGCCACGTTTGTCCAAAGACAATCTTTCCGGGCTCACACGGCCAGTGTGATTTAGACACGGAACGCTGTTTACCTTCCCACCGAGATGGTACCTATTTATCTACTTGCATTTGCATGCTTTCGAACCGCTAGGTTGGCGGGAGCTGGGACAAGCAACGGGCGCTCACTCCGTCGCGTGGATTCGATCTTACGACTGCTTGGTCTTCTGACCCTGCAGCACAGGCTTCTGCAGTTTAGCCCACAGCGCCACCACGTCAGGAGTTACTTCTCCTGATTATACATGGAGATTATTGTGCAGCACGAATGTAAAATTGGAGCTTTTTTTCCCTCTAGAACAGAGGTCCCCAGCCTTTTTCACCTCACGAATCAGCTGGGAAAGGTGGGGCACCCCTGCACTCGTGCGCATGCATGAACGGCAGCGCAGCACTTGTGCGGGGGCGCGTGCGCACAGGCGCAAACAGCCTTTGTGGGGGTGGGGTGGGAAGTCTATCTTCGCGGCCCGGTCCAGCTCAGGCCATGGACTGACACTGGACTGCAGACCGGAGGTTGACGACCTCTGCTCTAGAGTCTAGAAGACACTTACATGGATTTGAGGATACCCAAAGACAGTCAGATCAGCACAGCCACACACAATGAGCACATAGGATACAGAGGCATCCAGACAGCTATCTGAAGTTTTCTCTTCTGCCCTCAAGACTCTCCACTTGTTCATAGGCAACAGCATTTGACTTCCTGGAGTAGGGCCATGCCGGACACAGGCGTACGGAGTGAATGGGGGCTGTCGTTCTGGGTCGTGGACTGTGCAAAGGGACTTCTGCCTCTCTTCCCTTTTGACTGAGACGTGGGAAGCTGGAGTTTGGGGACTCACTGAAGCCCCAGTTCCCACAGATCCCAATGGCTCA